TGGCCCCCCTGCTACACAGTCGAAGTTCACTGGGTCTGCCTGAGACTCACAACTGTAAAAAGGTGTGGTTTCTCGCTCGGGTTAGCTGGGCAAGCACCAGGTCCCTTGTTGCGGCTTAACCATTCGACCGATCGGTCGTGTGATTTTCGGGCCGGCACAGGAGGTTCCGAATCCCATGCACCCTATATTGGTAGAGAATCACCCCAAGAGAATCAGTTGTGGAGCGGTGCTCCATGTGGGAAATTCCGAATGAAAAATGATTGACTCGTCTAAGATACACGCACCATTTTTCGAAGCGAGGTCGGTAGACGGATAATCATAATAAAACTTTGAACTAATAACGGCCAACAATATCTCCTAATGTAGGCCCACGCAAAACTCGTCTTGATTTTTTCCAACTGGTTGTTTTTGCTTTGAACGATCTTGCTAACTACCTCTGAAATAGAATTCCGAAAGAAAGAACAAATATTACGGGAATAATTATATTCATATCATAAAAGAGGTTCCACATGTTTTCCATTCTGTGGCTTGCATGGCAAAATCCGGTGATAGTTTTCTTCTTTCGGGAGCAAACCGTTCGATTCAGATATCCAATAAATCCAAGGGGGACAGATCAGGTGAACTTCAATGGGAGGACCTTCGGGGTAAGAGTTGACACGCCAACGAAAGCCCCAGCAGATGCACTCAGTGGCGTACCCAGAGGTCTGTACTTGTCCCACTACTGTTCCTCATCTTCATCAACCACCTGCGAACGAGTTTGCGGAACCCGTGCTACATATTTGCTGACGATGTGAAGATGGCCGGCGCAGACCTCGATGAAGATATTAAGGCTATACCATCCTGGTCACATAAGTTGGACCTGCCACTTAACCTGGCCAAATGTCAACGGGTAGAGACAAGAATGGCAGATATCCCTGACCAGATAGGGCACCTAATGGATGTAACACATACCAAGGACCTAGGTGTGGAGGTCTCTATACCCAACGGTTGATAGCTTGCACCATTTACACCCTAACGATCAGCAAAATGTCAGCCTTCCCAACCTAGTCTACTGATTTTACATGATCGTTCGGTTTTAACGGTGCATGAACTTTCTGCCTCGAGTTCTCTTTAATCACCACGTGCACTGGAAAACACTG